AGAAGAGGTATGATACAGCTCAGGAAGCAGAGAGGGAGAGGACCTAGTAGCGATCAGTGAAGTGGCGGGGTCAGGAGCTGAGTCTCGACCCCTGCAACCACAATTAGGTGAGTACAATTAGGTGAGTACACACACACACACACACACACACACACACACACACACACACACACACACACACACACACACACACACACACACACACACACACACACACACACACACACACACACACACACACACACACAATAGTAAATAACAATTTAGAATTATACGCATGCGAACGTACACTAGTTATAACTTTTATTTTTTAATACGTTGGTGGTCCAAGTCCACCTGAGGCAGGGTGACCCCCCCAAAAAGAAACACTTTCACCATCTTTCACACTATCGCTGTCTTTGCAGAGGCGCAGATACGACAGTTTGGATATCATTCCAAACAGCAAACATCTTAAACCCCTCCTTTAAAGTGGAGGCACTGTACTTCCTACTTCCAAAACTCAAGTCCGGCTTACCGGTGTTATTAATATACAGTATATAAAAAGAATACATCACATCAGCAGTGGTCTGCTACTCTGTTATGTTAAGTATGACATAACACAAAAACTATAGGGGATCCACTTGCTTCCCTTGAGTACTTCGTACTTTTAATACATTCAGCAGGCAGAACACATGATGACTCGTAGGGATCATAACCGTGTCTAGGGAATGGAAGGTAATTATGTTTGATTCGAGAAAGGAAAGGGTACTTCCAATTACTTAGATCACGAGCACTTCACCAGCAACCAGGTGCCATCGATAGACAGGGACAGGACAAGTGAACACAGAGACGGAATCTTTAACCTCGATACTTTATTAATCTAATGCAAAAAAAAACAAAAAAAAAAAACATGAATTTTTTTAATACACCGGAAGTCTTCCACCGAGATAAGGTGATTCCTCCCCCCCCCCCCCACACACACACAAAAAAAAAAACACATTCACCGTCATTCATTCAACCAGTGACTTGCCAGAAACTTGCTATTACAGTTGGTTACCTTTTTGTATAACAGTGGTATTATATACTGATGAGCATGTTAATACGGCACAATATGCGCTTTATGACATTATATTGAGAAGACGTTTCACCCACCGGGGACTTTATAATTCTTTATCAAATAATAAAAACCCCAGTGAACGAAATGTCTCAATAAAATGCCATAAACTACACTGTGTCTTATTAACACGCGTTAAATTTATGATGTAGAGGGAATCTCTCAGGACGACCCGTACAAAAACCCACATGAACTCCAAAAGGAATGAGCCAGAGAGACTTGTACTCCTAGCAAAGACCTTACTAGGCTTCCTACTTGACTGTGATTAGGGTGACTGTTGGTGGCTAGAGACTACATTACCATGTATGCTCCACAGCCCGGCTGACTACGTAAAGTTTTAAGGAAGGTATCAAATTCTATTTTCCATGCAAGTAATTCTTCTGATATATAAAATGAAAAAAAAAATATCCAAAGGACCCCAATGGAAATAAGTCTTGACTTTTTTTCGGGTTATCCCAGGTTGTCTACACATATGCTGCTGTGTATGATAATCTATGTAACTATATTTGTGTATATCTGAATAAACTTACTTATTTACTATCCTTTGTTTTCATAAAACAAAGGATAGTTCTCAGAGTATCTCTAACATATCTTCAAGTTCTCAGAATATCTCTAAAATATCGGTGTATTTCTGAAATATACAAAATAAAATGAAAGATACGCACATCATGATGTAATGTATATACATATATACATACATATATAGTACATGATCGGGTGCACACCTGGCCAGTGATTCACTAGAGAAACAGCATGTATTGGGAGTTTGATCTCTATTCTAGGTATTAGTATTATTCTCGTTTGGTGGTGAACCAAGTTACGTGCAGCCTTAAGACCCTCATGCAGTCGATAGGCTTTAAACCCCTTTAACCAACTATTACAGATTATAATTGTATTGAAAACCAATTCGTGTATCTCGTCTTGCGGCACTGGAAGCCTCACTTCAATGTCAGGTGCTGGCTGGCCCTCACTTAATACTGAAAGTGACCTACCTACCACTAGAACTAAGCACACCTCTCTCACGAGCCCTCCTAGGGCGGGGAAGGTGCCAGAGCCAGGGCTTGCTACCACCTGCAGCTCACAAGACTGCCATTCCCACGAGCCCTCTGGGGCGGGGAAGATGGTAGACCAGAGGCCTAGCTTCTACCTACGAGCCCCGTGAGGATGGGGAATGGGGCTAGGCCTGGGGACAGTTGGTACCGAAGATGAGGAGGTACTTGTACTTCCTCCCATGGGAGACATAGGTCTCAAGACAGGGAGCCATCTGGAAAAGACCCTGGCCCGGAGAGTACCAGCGAATCTTGGAGCAGTAGAGAGTGCCTGCCACTTTCTGTTATAGTTTGTGGAAAGTGGTCTCAGAAAGTGCTCTTAAGAGTGATTTGGATTTCATTTATTACATTAAACAAATGCATTGTGACAAGATTTTGTTATCAAGCCCTGGTTTTGTCAAGCCATGGTTCTGTCAAGCTAGGTTTGTCAAGGAAATCCTGGCTTATATGGATTTGGTTGTCAAATAGAGCCTAGCCAGTTTACTTGTCTGAGAGTCTACCCATAGATCGGTTATATGAGGGAGTCTAGCCATAATTCAGTTGTCTGAGAGACTAGTCATGGTTTAGTTGTCAGGTGTCTGAGAGTAGCCATAGTTCAGATGTCTAAGAGAGCCTAGCCATAGTTAGTTATCTGAAAAAGCCTAGCCGTAGTTCAGTTCTCTGAGAGAGCCTAGTCATAGTCCAGGTGTCTGAAAAAGCCTAGCCAAAGTTCAGTAATCTGAGAGCCTAGACATGGTTCAGTTTTGAGAGCCTATCTCAGTTGTCTTAGAGCCTAGCCATTGTTTAGTTGTCAGAGGATATTGTGAGTCTACCATTTTGAACACTTGAACGTCCATATTAATAAAAATAATAATAAATGATAATTATAATAATATACATATAATAATGCACGACCTGCACATGACTCCCCACGTCGCTGAAATATACACCTCTGGCTCCAATAAATTCCTTCGTACTACTGAGCCATTGCATGCACCATTACCACCACCTGCACCACTGTAGGAGCTCCACTTGCAACTTCGAAACTGAAAACATGGGGTTCAATGCCCTACTTGTGCTACTAACCTAGGCTCACTAATTTTACCCGCACTACTAACCCACATTCCATTTTGTACTAGTCCACTCATACTACCTGCTATCGTTACCACCTGCTCCTGGGCACCACCTGTTCACTAACACCACCTGTTCCTTGGAACCACCTGCTGCCATCATCACCACCTGCTCCTTGGCACAACTTATTCTTTGGCACCATCTACTCCCATCACCAACTGCTCACTGGCACCATTTGTTCCTTGGCACCATCTGCCTTCCCTGGCTCCAGGGGCTGTAGCGTCACAAGAACAACTAAACACTCACACGCCTCGTACTTTTCCTACGAGTGTGAGGAAGCTTACTGTCCCAAACTTGGCTAGAATGTTTCTAATTCTGGTGTCTGCTTCTCTCTTTTCACTTGGTTCGTGTTGTCACACTTTCTAATTCTGGTGTCTGCTCTCTTTCCTCTTAGTTCAAGCCATCACACTTTTTATTTCTGGTGTCTGCCTCTCTTTCCACTTGGTTCACGTTGTCACACTTTCTAAATGTTTCGTCTCGTCATACCGATCTATTCTTACGAAGACTTGTAAACACTCTCCCAAGTCCCATAACCTTAGGGTAAACTTTCCTCAATGCTTTTGTCTCAGGGACAACAATATTCTTGAAATATACTTCCGGTGCTAGATTTTCTGCATAATTTGTATTCTGGAATAGACGCATAGTGGACTGCGTTATTCCTTGGCATGGCTTTCGCTTTTACGCTTCTATCTGTTACCATCCAAGACTCAACACCAGAATTTTGTATTTACCTATTTCGTTACAAATTTGACTGTTTAGTTTAATATTTCAGAGTTCAGTTTTATATTTGACTGTTTAGTTATATACCTGACTGTTTACTAATATATTTGAGAGTTTAGTTATATATTTAACTATTTAGTTGCGCATTTGAAATTACAAAAATAGATCTTATGCTCGTTTTGTCCCATTTCTTTTAATAAACTTTTATAAACTTTTCTTTTAATTATTCAATTATTTAATTGCGTATTTCCTAATAATTAATTCCACATTAGTTGCCAAGCACTGTACGGAAATAGATGTAAATGTCCTTTCTGTACAACTTTCGTAATTTAGAAATATGATTTCTTGTTCTTACTGTTGCTATTAAGATGGCTTGGTTTATTGGGTTTAAAGCCTATCCACCAGTAGATGCTTGGGGATTTAGCCCACCAAAAATTTCTTCAGCCCCCAAATAAAAAATAATAATAGGTTTCCTAGTCCTTCTCGTCCCCTTCCAACAATTTAGTCGTGCCTCAGTGTCCCAGTTCATTAATTCTGGCGCCGCATGTGCAGTCCACAAAACCAGTCAGTAAGGCTGATTGTATGTAAACTTTACACCACCAAATATACTTTAATTCCTAAAATGGTGATTAAACTCAATTTTCAGCATATATACAGTATTGACAGCCGCAGTACAATATAACCGTCGCTGACCTCACAATCTATTTTCTCGTGTTTTATAGTCTTGTATGTGGTTATGTCTCAATCTTCCTCTCCTGTCTTTCAACGAGGCTATTTCCGGTGTCTTCAATCTTCGTAACTGATATTACTTATATCTCTGGTTTTCTTGCTGGGTTGAGGAGGGTGTATTGGCAAGGGGATAGTAAACCTCAAGAGTTTGACAATAATATGTTTGTTTTTCCCACAGGTATCTTCCAGGGGAACGAGTAAATGCTTCCCTTCTTCCGCCCCTCTACCCCCAATGGACGCCAAAGCATGTGGCTCACAAGTCCATAATATGTTGTACAATTCATTGTATGATATTTCAGACAGACGCATCGATCCCCGGACGACAAGAGGGTGGCGCGCAAGTGTCCATATTGCGATAAAGTGTATGTGAGCACCCCAGCCTTCAGTCAGCACATGCGCACTCACAACCAGGGCTGCAAGTGCCACACCTGCGGCAAGTGTTTCTCACGACCGTGGCTCCTCCAAGGACACATCAGGACCCACACAGGTCAACCCTCACACCCCACATACCAGGCTCACTCTTCACCTTTACATAGGCCTCAGATTTGTTACCTCAACAGCCGTAAGCTGTATCCCTCACAGATGTCTAAGTCTTTGACATTTGTGTCGGGAATGTAAACGGAATCTATACTACTCTCTGAGAATATTTGTGTCCATCCATTGTTACCCTTTGCTCTTTTTTTAATCTTTTAAGATGGCTATTCACACCTGACACTTTCTACAACATATGTTCATCTGTCCTTCACAAAAAAACAATACATTTGTTTCTTATGTGTTACACCTGTGGCTGTCACTAGTTATTCCCCACTAACACTATACCTGTCACTTGTATCTGTTACAAGTGTATTTGTCCCTAGTTATTTCCCACACTAACATTGCATCTCTTACGTATAACCGCTACTAACATCTGTATTTGTCACTAGTTATTCCCCACACTAACACATCTCTCACGTATTTCTGTCATAGCCAAGTGATGGACTACATTTGCGTTCCTCATACAGGATATATACACTGAGAGGTGTACTTATCTCAGTGTATATTAAGAGATTATGTAATTAACCTCTATTTTACAGAGTAAAATTATTTTTTAAACTTGTAAATTAAACAGGTTATGTGCAGCCTTAATGGTTAAATTCCCATTATCCAACCCGTGTTTCCTCAAGACAACGGTAACTTTATCAAAATCTTTCGCAACTTTAATTAGTTTTAAATACTGATTCTCGTACAAGATGCTGACATGCAGATTACAAGAATAAAAATGTGTGTAAAGATGCTACTTAGCAAAAAGTTCCGTTCAATCATGATCGAAACGTCTTCTTCATTGCGTGTTTTAATACTCAATTGTCGGCCTGTTGCTCCATTCACCAAGAATGTTTTTTTATTTTTGCAGGTGAGAAGCCGTTCAGGTGTAGCATGTGTGGTAAGGCCTTTGCTGACAAGTCCAACCTGCGGGCTCACGTCCAGACGCACTCCAGCATCAAGCCCTACGCCTGTACCCGCTGTGGCAAGTCCTTCGCTCTCAAATCCTACCTCTATAAGCACGAGGAGTCCTCTTCTTGCATGAAGCTCCACCGAGCCCTGAGTAGAAGTGGCATGACCCCCCATCCTGGGACTCCTGTTGTAGGACCTATTACAGGGGCACACGCTGATCTACCAGCCTCCACCTCGGCCATCACTACTACACTCCGCCATGCGTCGCCTAGCGGGTTCGGGAGTCGTGTTGGAGGGCGACCGTTGCATACAGTTACTATCCTTCGATCAGCTCCACATGTTTCAACTGCGCGTGCCCACTGACGCCTAAACATACCAAGTGTCCACTAACTACTTGAAATACACAACAAATGTTCACAGACACCTTTAAGTACACAACCAATGACCACGAACGCTTTGGGAAACACTGAACACCTTCAATGCCTAGCAACGCCTGCATATGTTCACTGACACTTTCTCGTGCATGGCAAATTTCCAGTGCCACCAAACACAGCAAATGGTCACTGACGTTTCTAAGTACATTACAACTGTCAACCATGCCTTCATGTATACTGCAAATGCCCTGTAACATCATTCAATATTGTAAATGTCCCGTGACAGATACAATTACACTGCAAAAGCCCACTAACACTCGTGACACTATTTCGCTCCACACAACCTTCACTCTTCTTATCAACATGGTACAACATACTTCCACAAGAGAACACTAGGAAGATCTGTGGCAGTGAGAGAACTTTATAATTGACCAATAAACTAGTCAAGAATGAAGCAGTGATGACTATGTTGGGGTGTGCCAAGTGGGGGATGCCAGGCAAGACTCATTACAGTTTTTATAGCTTACACTAATGACTGTCAGATACAGAGTATCAGTACTAATGATTATCAGGTCTAGAATTTATAACTATCAGGTCTAAAACTTTATATTACTAACTAATTTTGAACCTTTATAATAGTGATTGTCAGGTCTTGAGCATTTATATATGTGTAGAACTTTTATACTAGTGGCTATTAGGTGTAGAGCTTTTATAGTACTATCAGGTGCAGAACACCTATATTTGTAACTATCAGGTGTAGAACCTCTATATGTGACTCCGTTGAAAGGTCTTGCTACTGGTGTTGGGAAAGGTGTAGACGACCCACCTGTTCTCTTACTCCTAATCAAAACAGTTTTTTGGATTTTATATGTACACGCCCGAGTCACCTGATAGGTACCAGGGAAATGTAGTGGGCGATGGTAGCTGACAGCGAGTGAAGGGATTGTCGTGGATGATGGTAGGTGACGGTGAGTGAGGGGAGTGTCGTAAATTATGGCAGGTAACAGTGAGGGAAATGTTGGGATGGTGGTAGGTAGCTGAGCGAGGATTGAATTCAGGTGATGTGTGATTTCAGCTGAAAGGAGAAATGTGACTGGGTAATTAGTCTTGGATAATAACATTATATTATTATATATTATTATTATTATTATTTTTATTATTATTATTATTATTATTATTATATTATTATATTATTATATTATTATTATTATTTTATTCATGAGAAGTGCTGAAATCGAAAGGAATATAGAACGCCTGGGAGGAAGGGAGACAATCAAGTTTGATCCGAGAAAGGGAAGGAAAGCTTCAATTCTTTGGATCAAGAACCAGTCACCATTAAGGTACCCCTCCCTCCTTTATATGGTAAATTATTAACAGAGGCCTCAATGCGTATTTGGCGACCTGGGTAAGCGAATATAAGGTTAGAGAAGGATTCCCAGGGTATTAGGTGACCTGGATAGGTGACTAGGTGATTAATAAAGGCGAACCAGTGAATCAGGCACCCTACATATTTGAATAAATGGCTAGTAGAGGTATCACAGAGTATTAGGTGCCTGGATAAGTTACTGAGTGATTAATAAAAGCTTCCCAGTGATTAAAATGACCTGGATAGGTGACTGATTAATAAAGGCTTTCCAGTGGTTTAGGTGACCTAAACAGGTAATTGGGTGATTTTTTTTCCAAGGCTTCCCAGTGAATTGTATGATCTGGATAGGTGAATAAACGGTTAGGATAGGTTTCCCAACATGATGGGTTGAGGGGGACCAGCAAACACTTTCTGTACTCGTAGTACTTAAGCAAAATATTTAATTTCCTAACAATTTGCATATTGTTAAGTTAAATGCTATTTAGAAAGTTACTCGCTGCTGTATCAGTTATTACACAAAAAGAATGACACAAGATTATATATAAATATATATATATATATATATATATATATATATATATATATATATATATATATATATATATTATAAATATATACACTAAATCCCTGTTCTAAGGGTTGTATATACCCTGCATTAGATTTAATGGTAAAAATATTACAATTGGTTTTAACCTACTGCTGTTGTAAAAAATGGAAGATTGAAAATACTTTAACCATTTATTGATAACAAAAATTGTAATAATAGAAATAACTATTATATGTATGAATGTGAATAAAACTTAACATGGGTCCAGTAGACCTTAGTATACGGGAGGGAGCGAAGGGCGCTCTCTACGGGGGTATGTGGTGGATTTAGTGAAGTAGTTAAATCTCGGATGGGGATATCTAGTCAGTAGTGTTAGCGTCCCGGTAGACGTGTTAGTGTCACGGTAGACATGTTAGCGTCACGGTAGACGTGTTAGCGTCACGGCAGACGTGTTAGGGTCAAGGTAGACACGTTAGCGTCACGGCCGACAAGAAATTAGACAAAACTCATGAGCCCATTTTGGGTCTCCTAAAAACTCCAGGGAAAACTCTTACATAAGTTATGTAGTTTTTTACACAGGCTAGGTAAAATAATATTTATAGTGATATAAATTTTACCTATTTTAAGTAAATTGTTATATACAATAAATATTAAGCTATTTTATGTAACGCAAAATAAGCTAATTTGCATAAAATCAGCTATTTTGTTACGTATTTTTTTTTACAAAGATTGCATTAGGTTGCTAGGCTAGTCAGAATTAAAAATTGGCATATATCTGATTATCTATAACTTCAGTTAGCAGTTTTCCAGAAGAGGGGAAGGTGGGTCATTGAAAAAATTTTGACCCCCCTCTCCCTCCTAGTTGCTCCGGGGTGAGCATAATTCCTTAATCTACTGTAGTAATAATATTTCTGGGACCATGGAGTTTCTTCTTTACACTCTTTGTATCTATTTGTATAAACTCAAAAAAATGTATAAAAAATCTATGTATTTAGTATTGGATCTAAAGTGTGTGGAATGGTGGTGGTTGTAGGTCGGTCAGCCGACCGGTCACGCAACTGTAGCTGCCCTTAGCATCGCTAGGCTGCCTTGAATATCGCTAGGCTACCCTGAGTATCGCTAGACTGCCTTGAGCATCGCTAAGCTGCCTTGAACATCGCCAGGCTACAATCGGCATTGTAAGGCTGCCCTCGGTATTGCTAGTCTGCTTTCGGCATCGCCAGGCTGCCCTAGGCATTGCTAGTCTGCCCTCGGTATCGCCAGGAACAGCATCATCAGAGTACTAGCCAACGGGAGGAATCAAGTAGACCAATCATTCATGCCTCAGTAAGACAGCATCAGTAAACAAGCCATAGGCCTACTAGCCACCCACCTATTATGTATATACTATTTCGTATGTACTATTTTTTTTTAATTATCAGTGGAAACTATGTTTCTTCTCGACTTTGGTATAATGCTTTAAACATCTATTTATTTATCATATTTATAATTTTTTCAATAAGCCTTTTTTTTGTATTTGAGTGGAATATGAACCTAACAATAAATATTTATGATATACATACTGTGCTTCTATGGAATTCCACTACACTCAGGTTTATTAGGCATTACATTTTTTGAAGAGAGTAAAACTATATTTTCCATCCAAATTATTATTATTATTATTAGTACTAGTAGTAGTAGTAGTAGTTGTAGTCGAAGTAATAATAGTAGAAGTAGTTGTAGTAGTAGTATTTATTGTTTGTATTTATTATTGGGACGCGCTAAAACTGTTGACCATATAGTACCATATAGTAATAGGACGGTAGTTGTAATTCTTTCACCACAAATAATATTAGCACATCTTCCAGGAGAATTTACAAATGCTTTCTCAGCGGCCTTATACAAAGATTATTAACTAATTTTAATACTCCCTAAATAATTCGTTAGCAATGACGGGTTTTTTATATAACTAGGCTTTTTCTATAATTTTGCCATCTTAATATATTCCTTCTAATGAATAGGCTAGCCTAGTCGTCAATATCATTAGTCTCATATTAAAGGTTAGCATTCATATGACTGAATCAGCTGATTTACATTGTCAGCTATACTGGAAGTTATGCTCCGTGAACTTGTGTTGCAATATATCAAGAGTGATAAACTCGTGATATATTTATTGCATTACATGATCAATATCTAACCCAACACTGCAACGGCTGCGGGTGGACAGCAATTAGTAACAAGTGTCTGCATGATGAGGCTGGAAGATATAAAACATAACAAAAAACAGATATTTTCCCATTTCACTCTTGAAAGTGAGAAGTCGTATTTAATAAAAGATTTGTTTCAACTTTTTCGTATCTTTTCCAGCACCTGTGGGTCCCCAGTCTCCCTCCAACTAACCGTCTGGGGCTGCACCACACCATTTCACAATTGTAAACATTTACAAAGTCAAGTACCCACAAGTGTATAAATAATCATCCATCCGTCTGTCAACTGAGGTGAAGGTTCGACTCCCCTTACATTACTCACCCTAAAGTGTTGCCACTCCCCGTGGAAAACCCAACAACTGTTTCCAAGATTTGTAAAGGAAGTTTAAGGCAAACTCAGAGAGGTACAAAAATGAAGAGAACTTAAAGGAAAACAACTTGACAAAGCTCTTGAAGAGCGAAGCGTTGCCACAATAAAATGTCGCATTAGTTGCGCTTGTGTCCTTTTTACTTAAAAATATTGTTGGTAATTCTACCAACATTAATACTGTTCTTACATCTACCTGCGTGGAGAGCTGGGAGAATGGTTTCAAATCCTCTGCTGATCAAACCCTGATCCACCACGAGGCCTGGTCTCAGACCGAGCCGCGGGGGAGTTAACCCCCGAAACCCTCTCCAGGTAAACTCCAGATCTTATATAAAATGTTTGTATATGTTTATGACTACACTCACTGTATGTGTGAATCACACAGATAATGTTTAATCACATCACAAAAAAATCCGCAACCGAAAACACTTGTCACATTACCTCATGCTAGTATAGTATAGAATGTCTAACAGCAATCAGCTATTGAGACAGTCGATGAACACAGTGCGTTGAGACCTGGCTATTCCTAATCTAATACTCGCATTATTTAATTCTCAAATCTATTTCTTTGTACAGTGTTTTTAGCCTAAAATGAAAATATGTGAACTGGGCGCAAAGAAAGACAAGCGCAATTTTATAACAGTATCATTTAACTTAATTAACCTCATTTGAAACTATATATTTGAAGAATTAAAAAAAATGAGATATACCTTAAAGAAAAAAATCCAGAGAGTTAAGTTCCAATCTCTTGTAATAGCAGTTAGATGCAACGTGAAATATCAGATTTCGTAATCAATTTGTCAAGTTAATCAAAAGTATTATTTTGGTGCTATTCTTTAGAGTCACTACAGTATTTATAAAAGGGTGTTACTTACGAAGAAGTAGCGAAAGTTACTGCAGTTTGAAACAAATTAAGCATTATACAGTCTCTGTGCA